CCTCTCAGGGTCCTGGTTTCCTCACCTATATAAGACATTCAGCACCCTTTTATCTTCTGCACAAAAGGTGTCAGCATAGCTGGTAACCTGGGCAAGGGGTTTAAATTCTCAGTATCAGTGCAGGATGGGCACAAAGGGAGGCAACATACATTCTCTTCTCACTGCCTGCCCTCAGAATAGCCTTTGAGGATTTTTCTTAGCTAGAATATTGTGTTCTGTTGGACTCTGTGGTGTAGTGGTGAAAACCAAGTTGTATTATTACTCATAGGACTAAGACCACAGAGATGTGCTTTCAGCCAGTAAACAGATCAAAGCAGAGAGCACTATCTTACAACTTACCCTACAATGCTTATACCCAAAATATTCTGTAGGGAGATAACAACATATTGCCCTTTGGAGGGGAAATTTACCGCCTCTTGAGAACTGAACACATTTAAACACAATTTTTTTCAATGTTTAACACTTTCAGAGGATAAAGATCACTATTTACATAACAATTATTGAAAAATACTTTCTATATTCTAGCTTAGCAACTTTATATCACCCAAGAACAGAAATCCTGCCCTTTAGCACTTAGAGGAACTAAGACTCTGGAAAGAGTTATTGGCAATCACTCAGGGGATTCTAGAACCTGAGACAGCACCACAATCACCTACATGCTGCTCAGAAGGCTTCCCAGAAGGGTTCCTTCTCACCCACAGATGATGTTATTCATTTAGACAATTTCATTTGAACCTCATTTGTACAAGTATCAAGGTTTGGGAAATCAAAATTACTACAGGGAATGGATCACTGAGGAGGGCTTTTCCTAGTAACTGGGAAGGTACTCTGAAACACCTGTGTGTTTCTCTCCATGCTTCACAGAGGGCATCCCAGGAGAGAGCATCAAGCATGGGTGGGTATGAGTAGAAGATGCACATGTGGGTCAAAGAGAAGCAACTATGGCTGGACGCTTTAACAAAAGCACTCTGTTTGATGAATTTTTTGAACATATTTTTAATTGAGTTTTTGTGTATTTCACATAATAGAACTTAATCAAATTTAGATCCCCTCCTCCATCTCCCCAGCAGAAAGAGCCAAGTAGAAAGAGCATGAACATAGGAAAACAGAGGCTTTCAGGTCATTGGGAACTTGCTCATAAGAACTTGCAACAATGGTGACAGCACGCACAAGACCCATGCCGGCTCAATCAGACAAAGGCCCAGCACAGAAGGAGGGAACAGAGCAGCAGGATCCAACCCTAGCCTAGGACCTATTGGCAATTGATTACTGCTGGGTAAGGGAAAGTAGATCTTCTTTAAGATCTCTAAATAGGCTGACTAGACTCCGGTGGATGAACTTATACTGAAGGACATCTGGGTACAAATGCTTGGCCTGATAGGATTTAGCACATATGACAGAATGCATGATCAAATTTTAATGTACTGATGATACTGGGGTCATTCCTGTTCTCTGTGTTTCTGTCCCTAACATGTGTCCTAGAGCACTCTGATTTAATCGGGGAAAGCTCAGGGCAGGGATGTATTGAACCTGCCAGCTGCAACATAATGCTATTTCCTGTCCTGTTATCCAACCTCCCCAGTCTGCTGCTTCTCAATTAATGTCCAAACCCTGACGGCCAACCAGAATGCTAAATAGTCCTGACTACCTCCAAAATACTTACTCTAATAGCTTGTCACAAGGAAGACCAAAGTAAAAAGTGTTTAATTTGAACGATATTAGTATTTGGCAATGATCTGTGTCACTGTAGAAAGGAGAACAGGAATGATCTTAATACAATAGACACAATACAAGTCAGTTTTGATTAAGGGCGAGAAATAAAAGATGTGTTGGCTTGGAGGAGGAGAAAAAGAAATGACTTGGCTAGAAGCCTGCTTCCTGCAGACAATCTCAGAGGTCTGTTCTGCTCAGGGAAGTGGAGAAGGGGCCCAAAGGAGTAGCAACTCTGCTCACACTCATATAGGGATCAAGATAGTATATGTTCAATGTCTAGGGAAGAACAGAAAATTACCATATTATTCAATTACCCTGAGACAGTTTTTACTTTTCATCAAGGATTTGAACAACCTAAGAAGGCATGGTCTATTTCTCAGACTCTGGGTTTTTAATGTTGACAAGGTCAGGAGGCTGGGTAGTCGTCTCTACATCCTCTCACTACAGTAATTACTGCTTTATAGGACGTACAGATGAGTACTTTGTTAGTACTTCAATCCAGACCCTGAATACAGGGATGTTTTAATTCCTTCACAAGGCTAGCCTGTTGTTGCAAGTTCACATTTGCTGCCCAAGAGTACAATTCCCATTGTCTTGTATCTCTGCCAAGATCAAGCAAGTCAGATTAAGAGCTGCAAATCTGTCAGCAAACAGGCTTAGACCGGCTAAAAATAAAGCTGATTTTTAAGACAAAGTCCATACACATCTAAAAAGAATGAGTACTGTTAAAACTAGCGCCATTAAGAAGTTATGAGTAACTCCAAGTATGATCAAACCACCAACAGTGGGATCACTGCGTGTAACTAAACTTTCCTAAGTTTTCACGTTTATATAAAAAGTTTTAATGGAAGAACAAACATTAAAACAAGATCACCTGAAATACACAACAGTTTGGGATGCTTAGCATGAACCTAAAATTTTAACCTAAAACTAAACTTTGAAGCATCTTACACCAAGTTCCTCAGTTCTCTATCAAGGATGTTTACCATCATCACGTCAAGTTCTACACTGTTCCTATGCCCCTTCCCTTTGGGATAGCTCTACAAATTTTATGTCCAGATAGGGCAGAAGACCAGGATATGAAACCCAATCGCTGACAAGTAAGAGCTATAGAACTGCATTCTCTTGACCGAAATATTTAATCCAGACAGGCTACACCTGTGACCAAAGGCTTTTCATGTGCAGGTCTTTCCTGGAAATGTTCACTTAGGACCTGGAAAAGGGAGCTGCCCTTGGATTACAGAGCTAGACGGATGTGGCTTTAGAGTTTATTGAAGGCACCTAGAGGACAGGGTCTTTAACAGAAAACTGTAAGGTCAAGATGGGAAAGAATAGCAGAATTAAAAGAAAACCAACAGAAATACCCTAAAACAAAGAGAGAAAACAAGCTACCAACCTCAGAAAGCCTCTAGAAGTCAGCACCCACCTTCAAGTAGACCAGCAGTCTCACCAGGATATTAAAGTCTGGTTGGGCTCAATTATGTGAGGCTCAAATGCTCATTTTTGCTTAGGATCCTTTCTATTGAATTTCTATATAACACAACAGAAAAGATTCTAACTAATATAATGGACGATGTACTCCAAATTTCGAAGTATTCCTTCAAAGCAGAAAGAACTGTGTTAGCCTTCCCTTCTGAATCAGAGAAATGAACTGCAGAGATTGTTGCTTCCTAGTTTCTACATGAATAAGGAGAAACATTATTCTTAGTTAAGACTAATACTGTAAAACATAAATTATTCCAGGCTGGCAATTTAGAGTAGCTTCAGTTCCTACAGACATATGAAGAAAGGCAGTTTGACTTCCCCTGGGCAGAAGCCAATGCATTTGCTAATGATTCCGCAAAAAGCACAATTTTTCAAGTCAGTTCAGTGAACAGCCAGTGAGAAAAGAACAGCCTAGGACCATCCCAGAGACCCAGAAAACCTCTCCAAAGCTGCAGCTGCAATGCATCTTAACTGAAAGCTTGATAAGCATTTGCACAGGTTGGTGTAAGATGGTTATTTAAACACAGATGTATTCAATCAGTGATACTCTTCTAAGAGGTATTAGGAACATGAAGATGACCTCCCACATTAGGATAAGTACAGAGATCTAAAAGGAACAAAGACAGAATACACACTTTTTAGGGCCTTTCTTATGCTTGTTAGCTAGTATTGCCAGGAACTAATAAACATTTTACTTACATTTTTAAAATTTACTTCATAACTCCTCTATGAGGGGAAAGTTAATATTGCCTTTATTTTATGGATGAGAAACTAAAGTTAAAGTGGGGGACTTACCAAAATCACTCAGCTAAGAAGGGACTGCCTCAGTAATTGAACCTATGCCTAACAGCTTTATGAGTCTAATCATTATGATACATTGCCTGTCAACTATTAGCCATTATTTCTCACCAATGATGTTATTACCACCTAGATCTTGCAGTATGTCTAGAGACATGTTGCTCACTGGTGCTTCCACTAGACTGTAACACCCTTGGGAGAAGGAAGATTACTGTTTGGATATCTCTGGCTGAGGAGACTTGGGACACGACTAGAATGCTTTAAAAGTAATGAGTCCACAATGACAGCTACTCTGATATTCAATTCTCAGTTTAAATGTTTTCCTCCTCAAAGAGGGCTAATCAGAGAATCTTTTTTTTTTTTTTCTTTTAGTCTTTTTGAGTCTCCCTATAGCCCCAACCGGCCTGGAACTCGCTATGTAGACCAGGCTGGCCTTGAACTCAGAGATCCACCTGCCTCTGCCTCCCAAGTGCTGGGACTAAAGTCGTGTGCCACCACGCCTGGCTTAAATCAGAGATTCTGTAGATCTTGCAGCAAGCCCTGGAAAGAGCTGTGTAACAACTGTTGAGTTTCAGTGGAGTGCCTGTAAGATACTTTCTGGTGTAGACAATAGAACATAATTCTCTTTCTCAGGAACCTAGATCCATTATGGTGACACCTACCTCATATGCAAACAGAGATACTAAGCCTGTCTTGGTATAACAGGAGGCTCTTTGGGATGCTACAGGCCAGATGCTCTGTAGCTTGACCTAGTGGTCTTAAAGGCTTGGGTTTGGATATTCATCTATTCGTGGCTAAAGCACTCATTACACAAGTCTATACATCACTGGCTTTAGAGGCGATTTAGACCATCAGGACTGTCAGTACCAACATCAAACTCTCCAGGACTTAGCAAGCCCAAACGCTGTCCCCAACTACTTGTCCTTGAGTTAAAAGGGTTTAGTTGTGACCTCGTCAGACAAGGACATTGCCTGCTGGTTGAGGGAGGGAAGTCCAACACTTACAAGCTTGAATAGTTTCCCTTTATATAACATTGAGAGTTCTGATGGAGGAAGAGATGCTGATGGTGGTGGTCGTGGTGATGATGATAAAGATAACGATGAAAGAAGAAAACAGTGATGATGCTGAATGTCACCTATAAATACAAGCACAGAGCAGAAACAGATCTTCTAGTCATTGCCAAGATAATCACGAAGCAGTTTCTAGTCTCAATCCAACTTCACCGCGGTGCTTCCCCTCCAAGCTAAACACATCTAGCTTCAAAATAAAGCCTGCATCAATCCCGTTCCGGCCCTCCAAACCTTCCACCTTTCCTGTGCCAAGCTAGAATGAGACTGCACTGGAGGGTCAACATGGCTAGGGCCTGAGAATTAAGGACAGAGCTCTGTGAAGAGGGCTGTTGGGGTGATTCCAGGGGCCATCAACGCACTTCCCAGCAGCCTGGTTGCAGAGCTGGAGGAAGCAACGCAGAAGGGAAGGATAATTACGGTAGCGGAGCCTAACAGATCTGACCATTACCCTGAAGGCAGGAGGCTGAGCAGGCAGTCTTTGCCTGGGAAGAAGAGGTGGGGCAGACGGCCAAGAGGAAGACCGGTTCTTTTACCTGACCAGGTGCAGCAGCAGTAGCAGAGGCTGCGTGGATGCCACCGCACTCCTGCCCAGAGCCAGAACCAGAAACAGCCGCTGCGCCTTCTACCGCCGAAGTCCCGCCCCCAGCCACAAGCTCCGCCTCCCTAGCACGCGCCGGGCAGACAGTCTGTTTGGGGGAGGTGAGCAATGGACTGATTGACAGTTATCATGACCAATGGAAATGTTCAGCGGCTTCCGAGCCTGAGGATGGGAAGGCGAACAGAAAGCGGAGGCGCCAAATTAACTGCCTCGGTGCTGCAGCTGGGCGGGTCGCAGAACTGTCACAGCGTGCATTAGGACCAGGTTGCGGGGTTGAAGATGGTGGTCCTTAAACCAGGTCTAAACCAGTCCAGGCCACAAGCAGCTCCTGGCGCCACGTCCCCAGCTTGCCGCCTGCAGGCTGCTTCGCAGGGCGCACGCTCGGGACCTGCAGGAAGCGATGGGGGAGGGGAGCCGGTGAACCCAGGATTCCCAAAGATTCCTACCTTTGGCCACCTGGCCAGGGCAGGGGGCTACAGAGATGTGCCCCTTGCCTCTGTAGCGTTCTCTGTCACAGGCTAAAACTAACAAAAGAGGAAAACTCAACAGGACCCACACCAAAACCCAATTTTTGTTAGTTTCCCCTCCCAACTTCGCTCACCATTCAACCCGCTTTCCAAACAGCTTTTTATCAAAACTGCTGGAGGGTCTATAAATTAGAGTACCTTGATTTAAGAACTAAAAAAAAAAAAAGAACTGATTAGACCTTGCTGATACGGGTAAGAAGATCCGAGTCGGGGTGTCAGGAAGCAAGGGATCATGTCTGCCTCTTTGGACCCTGCAGAATTCAAGCTCTGTGCTGGTGAGTCAGTCAATACAGGCCTTGATACTAAGAGACAATGTTTTGCCCCAAATAAGGGTCTATCTACTAATGATTACAGTTTAAACCAGGAAACCTTTCATAAGAAGATTAGAGATCTTAATAACCCTGAGATGTGGTTTATGACTGGGGGATCTTTTCCAAGTAGGTATGCAAGAAAAGGTATTGCCTTTAATCTGCTCCAACATTAAATACAGAATTCACCATCCATCTGGTATTTAAAGCAGAATTCTGTCCTGAATAGATTTTGTTTTAAATGAAAAGTATGAAAAATTGAGAAAGTATTTTAAAGATTTTTTTCCTTCAGTTTAGTACAAATAATCATTTGTGAGAACCTTGATTTTTTTCTTAAAACATTACCTAAATGTTCATAGACCCTTTATATATATTCAAAAAGTATGAAAAATTGAGAAAGTATTTTAAAGATTTCTTCCTTTGAACAGTTTTCTATATTTGTGAGGACCTTAATTTATTCTTAAACTATGAGCTAAATATTC